TTATGAAAATTTTCATTCTAATAAATGTTCTAATTAATCCTGCAATAACTGACCTACTGTAATTAGAAAGCACAACATAAAAAAAAAAAAAAAAGTAAGAATTCAAGACAATAAGAAAAAGTTTCCAGATCTAAGTGTAACTAATATTCGGCTATAGAGTACTAGCATTTGTAAGGTCAATATTGTACAAACTGTACATATACTTTGGTACTTCATTTTACATACCGTTCCTGCAGTATCCAAGATTTCAAGCATACACTGTTGTGCATCTACTTCAACTTGCTGAGGAAAAAATTAAAATACACCTTTAGTTTTCATGAATACGAGACTACCGTAATATACACAAAAGCTGTGATTTTAAACACAGACATACATTAGTTACTTTACAAGCAAATCTCAAGCTTAATACTTTAACAAAACAGGGGCAAATAACCAGGTAATCAAGGTTCAAAGACCCCTAAATTGTATTAGGTTTAAAAAACATGTGTTCTCAACTCAACACAAGGACACCTACAAGATCGAGTCTCAATATGAATCATTCAGCACTTAATTCTGGAGAGGAAATGATTTCAAAATAGCTCCAAGATAGTTCCAACAATATTAGAAGTGTTGCTATCTTAACTCCCCCATAATACTTTAGATATACTATTTCTCTAGATAACCACAACCCCTACCATTACTGGTAACAAGCAGTGCCACAGCTATCCAATGAATTATATATGCTAACCAAAACGGTGGCAGTTCCAGCTGCTCCTTGGAAATCCTATGGGGCAGTTCTACTCTGTCCTACAGGGTCACTATGAGTCGGAATCAACTCGTAATGACAGTAATGGGTAGTAGCTACCTCTTTTGCCTAATATTCCCTAGGGTGAAAAAAAAAAGTTGCTTAGAATTAGGTATGAAGAGAAGAGAGTAATATTGCTTTACAGCTGAGGTGGAGGAAGTGGTTTCCAGTTGTTTTGGATGACTGTGGACATGCAGGGAAAAAGGGAAACAGTGTCTGCTTTGTTTCCATCAGGCTGGCTGCTACACAAAGGTTAGCAGCTACACAAAAAGTACAACTCTCCCCATATTAAGTTAAAAAGTCTGTACATTAAGTTCTATTGTCACATGCTGTTAGTGGACACAGGAATTCACTTTTCTATTGTTAGCAGTGGCACTTTCTCAAGAAGTCCTAAGCAGGAATGTTAGGGGAGACCTCTGGACTCACATCTCTAGGTTTAAAAGAAGAAAGCCTGAGACTATTCAGTCCTTCTAGAGGGAAAAATATGGAGGCTACCAACTGGAATGGATGGTCTTACTCTAAAGTTTGTACGTCAAATTACAATTTTGGGGCCAAAATAAACTTAAGGTTCTCTATGTGTGTGCATGTGACTCCTATATGGGCAAACATACAATGCCAGGTAATAATGGAGTGTAAACTTTTTCCAAATAAATAATTTTATAAATTAAATCTGCTTCTTCATCCTACTTTGTATACAACATTCAATAATTATGAAGCTAAAAATATGTATTTATTTATATATTAAGGTCAAAAGCAAAAAGCCTTCTAAATTAAGATATACCTTTCTATAAGAATCTTCTATTGTAGGATCATATTTTTCAACAAAAATTCCTTGAACAAACTGTACGGTCTGGAAAAAAAATTAATATACCATTACATTTCTTAAAAAAAAACAAAAATCCAAATTGTACATTTTAAACTAATGATTTCACATTGAAGATTATACCACTGACAAAAAAACAATCAATACATGTAAACGTATGCAATTGGTGAGAAAATTATCTTAGAAATGCCTCCTGCTTCAGTCTTAAGGGCTTAAATTTGAATTTTAATTAGAATATACCTAACTGTTGTGTATATACACGCATGGGCACGTACAACACACCTTCCCATTCCTTTGGATATATTTACAAATGAAAACACAGCTCATGCCATGTTGTACACACTTCTCAGTTTGATCCAAGCATGTCAAGTTCTGTGCCAGGTGGCTACTCTACGTGGCCAAGTGAGACGGTTTTCTCTCACTTGGGAGAAAGAGAAGGTCAATCTATTTCTTCTTGTGGGGTTTTTGCTAAACTCTCAAGTACTCAACTTATTTTCTCTAAGCTTCTCCCTTTACCCCACTCCCCTACCACCAAGTTGTGTCTTCCTTCTTGCTATGGTATTCCTTGATGGAGAAAACGTGGCTTCTAAAATTATGTAAAAAACTAGACAAAGGTAACACTTGAAAAAGATTTTTTAAATAATTTTTTAAAATATTTTCTAACATAAAATATATAGTATAAGCCTATTCACACGGAAAAAGACCAAAATTCATTCCCATCTGACTCTGCAAATACATACAGACACACATTTATATGCTCTCACCCTCTGTGCTTAGTCCAAACTCTATTTTGGCATACCTCATGTCAGTTTGGAACTAATGTTCCAGGAAAAATATGATTTATCCAGATACAACTGAAAGTAGAGTGCAATTACAAGAAAAATATTACTTCTAAAGCCATTATGAGATTTCATCCTACTAAACAAAAGAAGCTTTATAATCAAAACCTAAACCTCAACAGAAAAGGAACATGTCTTAAAGTGAATAGCTTAAGTACACTGAGAATGACTTACCAGAGCAGACTTTCCAACACCTCCTGAGCCAAGAACGACTAACTTATATTCACGCATGGTGCAAACTTGTTGATAAAACCTGTGTAAAAAAAAAAGTAATGAATTCTTAAGTAATGTCTTTGTATTAATGTGCTTCTTATATAAATAAGACACACTCAAGAAAGCAGATTTATTTAAAACGATAACTATAGTGTGCTAATCTGGAACACATTCTATAAACAGCTCCTAAAGGATGCTATTGGTAGGGCTCTTTATAACACAGAGGTAAAAGAAACTACAGAATTACAAACATGACTTTCAGCAATATCCTAAATTAATTCAGAATCAAATATTTAGTCTAGTAAGTTTAAAAAAAAAAAAAAAGAGGAGGAGGGGGGCTGGAAAACAGCACAAAGGAGTATTTTATTGGTTACAAGATACCAGTGACAAACATGTCTCCCACCACCCTTTTCTCAGAAGCCATTCCAAAACAAGAACAGGAAACAAATGCAAACACACTATGAACCATCTGTAACCCTGCACAAGAGGTAGGCGAGTGCCTACGAAGATCCAGGGATATAACCAATGAACAAAAGACAAAAACCCATGTCCTCACTGAGCTAATGGTCTAGTGAAGATCAACAGGATAGGGCAAAGATCTGAAAACAAATCTGACCCACTACCTATTTTTGTACATAAAGTTTTATTGGAATACAGTCACACCCATTCATTTGTGTATTGTTTATGGTTGTATTCCTGCCACAATGACAGAGTTAAACAATTACAACAGTAGACCATCTGGCTTGGAAGCCAAAGATATTTACTATCTGGCATTTTCAGAATCAACTGGAGGACAACGGGTTTGGTTATTCTGCAGATAAAGTTTGCTGATCCCTGGGATAAAGGAATGGTAAATGAGTTAGCACAGGAAGCTGAATACCAAATGCATACTCCTGAAGTTGGGGGAGGTACAAACGGGAGCCAATTTGCCCCTGAAGAATCCTGAAGCTGGTCTGGAATTAGAGGTAGAACTGAAGAATATGAGCGCCCAGACTGAAAAGGTTTACTGAGTGTTTCGCATGATGAAATAGGGAAATCCAAACAAAATAAAAGCAAAAAAGAAGCCCAAACCAAGGATTATCATTATGAAATTTCAAAATACTAAGGACAGAAAAAGAAGATCCTAAAAGTTTCTGCAATAGGGCATCACATTAAGAATTAAAAGCTCCCACATTCCTTAAAAATAAAAAAAAAAAGAAACAGAAAACCTAATAGGTCTGTAGCCATGGTAGCCACAAGAACAAATTTTAAACTTTCTTAATTAAGAAAAAACAATTCTACAGTCATGGTAAGGAGCCTTGGTGGCACTACAATTAAGCACTTGGCTGCTAACAGAAAGGTCCGTGGTGAGAATCAAACTCATCAATGGCTCCTTGAAGGAAAAGACCTGGAGATCTGCTCCCTTAAAAAGGCAAATCTACAGACAAAGGAGCCCTGGTGGTGGAGTGTTAAGTGCTCAGCTGCTAACCAAAAGGTTGGCAGTTCAAATTCACCAGCTGCTCCTTGGAAACCCTATGGGGGCAGTTTTACTCTGTCCTGTATGGTCATAACTATGAACTGGAATGACTCATAGGCAATGGGTTTGTTTTTTTGGTTTATAAAGACAGAAAGTAGATCACTGGTTGCCTGAGGGTGAGAGTAGAGACTGACTATGTATGGTCACAAGGGAACTGTTATGAATTGAATTGTGTCCCCAAAAATGTGTGTCAACTTGGCCAGGCCATGACTGCCAGCACTTGTGGATGTATACTATTTTGTGATCTGATGTGGTTATCCTCTGTATTGTAAATCCTAACTTCTATAACGTTAATGAGACAGGATTAGAGGAAGTTAAATGAATGAGGCAGGACTCACTCAATCTACAGGAGTAGGTTTTATCTTGAGTCAATTTCTTTTGCAATATAAAAGAGACAGGCAAGCAGAGATGAGAGGGACCTCTTACCACCAGGAATGAAGAACCAGGAGAGAAGCATGTCCTTTGGACCCGGGGTCCCTGTACTGAGAAGCTCCTAGACCAGGGGAAGATTGATGACAAGGATCTTCCCCCAAAGCTAACACAGACAGAAAGCCTTCCCCTGGAGCTGGCACCCTTAATTCAGACTTCTAGCCTCCTAGACTGCTGAAAGAATAAATTTATCTTTGCTAAAGCCATCCACTTGTGGTATTTCTATTATATCAGCACTAGATAGGTAACTAAGGCAGGAACTTCTGTAGTGATAGAAGTATCCTAAAACTAGTTATGGTGATTGCTACACAACTGTATAAATTTTCTAAGACTTTGAGCATAACACATTTGATTGCATCAACATAAATATTACCATTAAAAAATAATGACTATAAAAACTATAAAATTATAAGCACTGTATTTCTTAACAAGATAGTTGGGCCTCCGTTGCTTCATTTATCCATGAATGAATATTACTTGTTGCTAAAATGAATCAGGAATCATCTTGTTATTTTTCATTTTTATGGGTGTAAACAACATAACGAAGGGGTGGATAGAGTTTTTGTTATATCAGTGTCACCCAATTTTTTGAGCTCCTTCCAAGTTATATAGCAAAAATCACAGTAATCTATTATCAAAAATTATTTTTAATAATCTCTTGGCTAATTTAATTCAGTCCTTCTTTAGTTTTGTTGAAAGCAAAGAATGGAAACCACCTGACTTTCAAAAGATTTCTTAAAAGAAACTTCAAATAAATGGTATCATACAAGATGTAGTCTTTTGTGTTTGTATTATCTCACCTGGCATGTTTTTGAGGTTCATTCATATTATTGCTTCTATCAGTAGTTTGTTCTTTTATTTCTTATTATTGATAAAAATATCTCCCTTCTATGGATACCCCACATTTTCTTTATCCATTCACCAGCTGATGGACATTTGGATTGTTTCCAGTTTGGGAATATTATAAATAATGCTAATCAATTTGTGTTTTAATTTTAATAACTCAACCCAGAAGAATTTTTACTGCAAAGTCTTACGGTCGTAGAAAATTTAAGGTTAGCAATAAAAATTTTAAACCTAAAATATATAGTGACAGAATATATCTACCTTAGCACTAAGCAACTTTCTAACAAGGAACAGTGCTAAGAGGACAATGCAACTGAGCATAATCAACATCTTTCTTAATCTCTTACTAATATTTCCTTATCTGGACCAATCAAAATATTTTTATTTAAACTCTGATAAACACCACTGCCAGGGGGTTAATTTTTTCCTTAAAAACAAAAAAATTAACAGTATGAAAGCCAATATTTGAACCAACATCTGTTTTTTTTCACATCTTTGCGCTTTCCCACCACACTAGCCCTAAAAAACTGTTTGAACATTTGGAAATCTATGACTTGTCTAAACTTTTGTGCACAATTTTAAGATGGGGAAAGACATCATATCAGGTTTCAAATGGATTTGTGATAACTACTGTTTGAGATACTGAGACTAACTGTTCTCTTTCAAGACCACAAATGCAGACAATTTTGAAAGGACAGCAACAGTGGATAACAGCACCTAAGTTTTAAATGCTGGCTTTCGATAACCTTGGGCAAGTTATGAAATCTTTCAGAGCTCCACTTTCCTTCTAAGTAAAATGGAGGCAGTAACACCTACATAAAATTGTGAGGCAGATTATGTAAGAATGTAAACTCCACAAGGAAAGGGTTTTTTGTTTTCTTCATTGTTATATGCCCAGAACCTGAAACAGTGCCTGGCACATAATATGTGCTCAATAAATTAAGGAATGAAATGTAACTTTTCTTAAGAGTCAGTGATAATGGTACCTTGCACACAGTAACAATCAACACATGATAGCTGTTTGACATCACTAGCACTGGTCTGAGCTACCACTCAATACAGTGAAACAGAATTGCTGTTTCCTCCATTAAGAATTGGAGCCCTGGGGGACCTCATGCCATCAAGAAAGCAGTGCCCGGAGCAGAGCACATCCTTTGGACCAGGGTCCCTGCGCAGAGAAGCTCCTAGTCCAGGGGAACACCGAAGAGAATAAGGCCAACAGAAAAAGCCTTCCCCTGGAGCTGATGCCCTGAATTTGGACTTTTAGCCTACATTACTGTGAAGAAATAAATTTGTCTTTGTTAAAACAAACAAACAAACAAAAAAAGAACTGGAGCCCTGGTGGTGCAGTGGTTAAGAGCCTGGCTGCGAGCCAAAAGGCTGGCAGTCTGAATTCACCAGCTGCTCCGTGGAAACCTTATGGGGCAGCTCTACTCTGTCCTATAGGGTTGCCATGAGTTGGAATCTCTCGATGGCAACGGGTTTTCTGTTGAGAATCACTACTCTTTTACCTACTAGCTCTATACAAAAAACTTTGTAAAGTTTTAGTCTAAATGTGCTGACTATATCAAAAAGCAAATAACGATTTAATTATTTTACCATTCTGGATTACACAGTATTTTTCATTAGTAAGACCTAAGATCCAACTGCAGATTATTACTGACCCAAATTATGAACCATAGGAGTAACTCTAAAAGTCACAGGGGAAATGAAAAAGCATAACAAAATGATAGCTGATGTAGTATTGAAAAAAAAAAACAAAACAAACTTCTGGTTAACTATTTACTTGGTGTAAACATTTACAGAGGACCTATGCTGTTCTAAGAACTGTTAGAATCTGAAGACTAGAAAAGAAAGTCTAAGAAATGATACCTTCCAACAAAGAACTCAGACTTATGAGAAAGTCAAGCATATATAAACAGATCACTGTAATACAGCTTTCAATATCAATAAATATTTACTGAATACCTACTACATGTTAGGACCATCCTATGAAATCAGAATAGAGCAGTGAACAAAAGATCCTGTCCTCATAGGATTTATGATCTAGGGGGGGTAAAACAAGTAAAGTCAATATACAATACGTCAGAAGCAGTATGGAGAAAAAAATAAAATAAAGCAAGGGAGATAAAGAATGTGTGAATGGAAGGACTGCATTATGCGGCTATGAAGGACCTCTGTTAAAGAGAAAGTACTCAGTATCTAGAGTCCTTTCAACAGGTCAGTATTAAATCCTTTGTCAACAAAAT